AAAATTACTCAAAATTTTATTAAGATAATCTATTTTAATTTTTTCATAAATGAATTCAGCACCTAAAAAATATATAATTATATATTTTTTTAAATTACTTTATTGATTATTCAAACTTGGGCATAGGTTTGGACGATTTGAAACAATCTTAGATGTTGGAAATTTTATATAGTGTGAACATGTCCCAAGTACAGCACTGCTATCTTGGTGCACAACAAAAAGAAAAAAATATCAGAAACGAAAATTTTAAAGATAATGAAAGCTCTAATTCTAATAAAATTACCCTAATCATAATCTAATTAGATAAATAATTTTAGCCCATATCCAGAAATTTAGACTGCATCTTGCTTTTGTATAAGTAAGGTCATGCCATAATTTTTACCATAGATTCATGGTCAAATCCCTGAATATTTTATACAAAATAGTAAATTAAAAGCTTTGAATTTGATCATTGGGTAATTATAAATTTTATTTATAAATATCTATATAGTTCTGTAAAGCCATCTTCTAGCAATAAGTCCCATATCGATTAATATGTGATCTGAATGCTTACTAAATAAATGCAAATAGATTAAAGATATAATAGTTAGAGATGGGCAAATAGTGGTTTCTGCAAAAATCCTGTGCGTCACGCGCGGATCACGCGTGTGATGCGCATCCCACGCGGGATATGATCACAAATCTGTGGGTTTCTTAATTTTTGTGTCTAATAAAAACGACATGCAGAAATTATTATTAAAAATTATCTTACTACTGATTTATTACATTTATGATCACAGTAATTACATTGAGCACGTCAATGCTTAAAGCTTTATCCAATTTTTGTAAAATGATTTCAATTATCATGATTACCACCCATGTTATGATTTAATGATATTTATATTTTATTATTATACCAAAGAAAAACTTTTGGTAAGAAAAAAACACCAATGGCAAAAAGAAAATTCTTGTTACATAAATATACATACATATGTGAAACGGTATACAAATAAATAAATAAATAAATTCTATATAGAAATACACGTATCTATATAAATTATGATATACTTATGTGAAATGGTCTAAATATGTTAAAGCAGGCCAGATATTGTATAATGCCAGCAAGATGATATGGTAATGCAGTCCAGATTATTTTATTTTGGGGTCATATTAAAAATCCCACGCGTACCCATCTCTAATATTATTTAATATGATTAAATATATCTACTAATAAATGTATAGTATAATATTTAGATTCGCTATCTAATTCAACACGAATACTATAAGTTAAAAAGGTATTGTACAATAGTAAATTTCAATAAATTTAAGTAGCTTACTTCAAACATATAGTTAATAAATAATGTTCAGCTGGCTATTAAAAACCCATTTAAATATCTCTTTAGATAATAAATCCATAGAGATGTCATAGATATCACATTTACTGTTATTTGCTAATAATTGTAGTGGTGCTATAATAGATCAAAATAAAGATCTCAACTAATAATTAACCAATGCTATTACAATTTTGGGAGAGCTATAAAGTGCAATGTTCAGTTTATCTCCAATATGTAGCAGACTTGAATCTTTATTTATTTCAACTCTTAGCCTCTTGTTAGGAAAATTCTTATAACCCAGACCTACAACAATTATTGGATATGCATAACCTGACACAGAATCCATACGTGTGTATTATATCTCTAATTTTATAACTGCCAATGTACATTTATACAATCTATTTTCTAATGACTTATTACTAGTGGTAGCTATTTCTACTAAAAAATTCCGAATTTGGCAATTTTTCATAAATGAATTCTTGAAGATAATTACGAAATGTTTCTGTTAATCTATATTGAACATTATTATGCTTTAATACATTGTTCAATGCTTGATTCCACTCTTTTAATATTCGTTTTTTTCCTTTCCTTTTAGTAAATCTTATGGGTATATCACTATAATGATTATCTGTGTCATCAATAATTTGCATCGGTAATTCAAAAGTTTTTTCTACATTAAATAAATCAGGTAAATAATACTTGAATAATGGTGATAAAATATCTTGACTAGTGCATTGAGAGATTGTGTCTAAATGAGATGGAAGATAAAAATTTTTTGTATTACAATAAATTTTAAAAATGTTGCAAATTGCTTGAAATTCATATTGATTTATTCCGGTAGGTATGTCCACGTCAGCATTTTGTTGAAGATTTTTATCTATGCTAATTCGAGCTCTTAATATATCTTCAAAACAAAGTCTTGTGATCTGTGTGTCTGGGCCAAATTTTCTAAGAACCCATTCATAAAAATTTGATGACAATGTAAGTTTTTTAATTTCAGATTCCATAATTAAATTTTCATTTTTTTTAAAATAATAGTTAAATGCTCTGTTGAATGCAGTTTCTGGATTGTTTTGAATGAGTCTATAGAGAAAATTCCAAACATGTGATTTATTTGAATTGTGCTTAGATTTTAATGATTCTATCAAACAATGTTCTAAAAAGTTTTCTCGAGTATCTTGTTTAATATACATAAATGATTCCATTAATGTTTCACCAATATCTTCTAATCTATCTTCAAATAAATAGAGGATACTACCTATAACACTATAGCTTAGTTGAAATTTAAGTTCAATTAATTCCATTAGTCGCTCAGTGATAGCCTTAACCTCTGGTCGAATCCATTCAATTGGTGGATTCGGAGGAAAAAAAATAAGAAGTGATCCTTGAATTACAAGATCGTTTACATCATTGCTAATTTCGCAATAGCCAATTTTTTTCCATAATAGAACCAGATTTTTGCAAATTAAAATTGCGCGAGCGATTACGTTTAGCTGTCTGTTATTCTCATAACCGTCTTTAGATGGATATTCTTCAGGAATATTTTGTGTAGTGCAATCTTCAAAAAATTTCCTAGGAGGTCTAGGGGGGAATGGGATAAATTTTTTGTTAAGTATTAAGTCTTCAATAGCGCTCATATTTTTTAGCAAGATACCCGGAGCATCCTTAATCACGTGCGGTCCGGCAGAAAGAAAATGAAAA